ACTGCTGGGAGTTCATTCGTGAGTCTTGTCTCAATCTAACAGGACTAGTCGTATGTACACTTCGGGCCATGTGTTTTTCCAGCCGATTCTGTACTGATTCCTTGCCTCTATATACGCTTCAATCACTACTCCGGCAGGTTTTGCAGGAGCTACCATAGATCCTTTCCAGGAGGACGATGCAACCTCTGTCACTGCTCGTCTACATCTGCCAGGCATACTCATACTCATGACTTTTGCATTTGCGAACCATATAGCCGACATACACACGACAGCGCATGCCACGTACTCGATGGTAGACGCGACAGAAGAGATAATTTATGATCTGTTGCTTTGGCTTAACACGCTAGACCGCGTAGAGAAAGTAGAGGATCTGCCTATATTCATCCCCTCCACAGTTACCCAATCGGAAGTTCCTATGGTACGGAATATTCATCCGATTCGCGGTACCCTAGCAGCCACCATCCTGTAACACCCGACCTAGTCAATATTATTTCCTCTGGCGAAGAAGCTATCACAAACCATCGAGGCGATAAAGACTGATCAACAACTCGAGATTATAACATCTCAAATGATATCTAATTCGCTGTACTCCTGAGCTTTCTCATAGCCAGGAAGAAACCCAACTCGAAAGGTTGGCTTCTTCATTGCTCCTACTCGTAAACACAACATATTAACTGATACTATCAGAGTAGAAGCGATGCCTATCGCTTGAGTCAACTTAAAAATACTTGCTACCGAGGATGGTGTACTCAAAATATTTAGGAACACTTGACAGCGACGACAGTTGTCACCTCGACGAATTCGATATACATCTCGTACGCGTAGTACTCAGTAATCATTTGAGAATTCATCTCACGTAGGAAGGTGGTCAAGTTATTATCAGGATTGACCAGAATTACTTCCCTCTCGTTCAAATTATATTCAGAGTGGAAATACTGACCAGCCAAGTAGATAGAGACTGAATAAGTATCGAATAACAACTCCAAATATCCAAACGGCGAATCACCACACCACGTTCCGACGATACCATCGGTTGGAACGGTAGTATTATGAGGAGCAGTAGTATCAACAACCTCAGTGGTATCAACATACTCAGTGGTATCAACATACTCAGTGGTGTCGACAACCTCAGTGGTGTCAACAGCCTCAGTCGTGTTAGATAAAGGATATTCGGTGGTCACGGGAGTAGGACCAACGGTCACCATATGACATGGGTAGGGTTCTCCGACACATTCCTCGTCGCCACTGGCGTGACAGAGGCTGCCATCCTCCTTGACGATGATGCCAAAACACACTGGGGGGGTCCTGCCAAAACTTACAGTATGATCCCCAGGAAGAATCCTTGCAACCAACCATACCATCACATACTTCCTGACAAGTTGTGTCAGGATACTCGTGACAGAGAACGGGTTGTAGAACAGAGTCGTCGCAATCAGCGTTGTAATCAGAGGCTGGCTGGAAGCATTTACCCTCATCCCTATGGTAAAGGCCGAAACAAACACCATTGTTTTTACAGTAGGACTCAGTGCAACCCACAGTCTGCGAGCATGAGCTCTCACAGTACTGTCCAATAGGCTCAACCTCATCGGCTGTACGGCCAGTCAGACCTTCTACAGTGACGAGAACGGCAATGAGGGCAGCGAAGCGCATGGCAGCAGGAGAGATTGAGTAGAAACCCTAATAAGACCACGATGGATAGAACTTTAATAATAACGTCCATGCGTGCACGAATTCGGCTCATTACTGAAGTGCGATATTTCGCTTGCCCTTTTGCGATCCAGAAACCGTCGACGAAATCTTACGGTTGCAGGATTTCCGCCCTCGCCCGCGCAGGTGACCGGATTTTGCAGCCATCGACGGTGAGACAGTCAACTGGATCTCCATTAATAATAGTGAGGCTGCGTACGTTTTGCCAACAAGCCAGCGTGCATTTTTCCTCTCGCTCTTGCTCGGGTGTTCTTGTTACACTGCGACTCTGAGTCGCTGACTCAAGGCATGTAGAAGACCAAGCTTGTCAGTTAGCGATACAACGTAACGTATGTGAATCGTTCTAGCATGTACTGGACCTCAGATATCATGTTGCGTGGATTCTTGAACCCAATTTTCAAAGAAATAAAATTCTGATACGTTTATCGAGCCATGAATGTAAGCACCATCTTAACTGTGCATTGTAACAATATTCACACATTACCATTTGGATTGCAGATCCACAAGCGATTAACATTCATCAAACCAATGAATTGCTTGATAGCCAAGTTAACTTCTAAGATGATCCATTGATCGTACTAGATTGTAGTGTATTCTATTGCGGACACCTAAAGCTCGAATATATATGAATAATCACTTCACAAGCCTGAAATAAGCCTCGTTGCGAAATCCATTATACGCACTGCGTAGTGCACGAGTGGCTTTCCGTTGAGAATGCATGAAAAATCAGACATGTCTGTGAGCGACTTGCCTCTATGCACCCTAGCTTCTACTTCATTTATAGAACGACTGAGGCTGTCAAGGGATGTTCGACAGAACAGATGATACTGGCAATTTGGATTTCAACGATGTGCCGCTCTACGAGCAGCAATCGACCTCACACCAGTGAAGAACTTCGGTGGTGAACAATACCATCTCATTGTCTACCATCCATCTCACAAACGAGAGACATTCTCCTTATACTCTATAAGTTATAGACCATCCTGCACTAACTGAAAACAACTTGATAGACGAAGAAGAATCACTAAGGAACTCAACCTTACACTTGCCATGAAATAAAGAGCGATACCTGTCGCTTGAGTCAACTTGAAAATACTTGCTACCTGAGATGGTGTCCTCAAAATATTTAGGAACATTTGACAGCGACGACAGTTGTCACCTCGACGAATTCGATATACATCTCGTACGCGTAGTACTCAGTAATCATTCTGGTATTTCTCTCATTCAAGAAGGTGATTAAACTATTATCAGGATTGACAAGAATTACTTCCTTCTCGTTCAAATTATATTCAGAGTGGAAGTACTGACCAGCCAAGTAGATAGAGACTGAATAAGTATCGAATAACAACTCCAAATATCCAAACGGCGAATCAGCACACCACGTTCCGACGATACCATCGGTTGGAACGGTAGTATTATGAGGAGCAGTAGTATCAACAACCTCAGTGGTGTCCATATACTCGGTGGTGTCGACAACCTCAGTGGTATCAACAGCCTCAGAGGTATCAACAGCCTCAGTGGTATCCACATACTCAGCGGTGTCAACAGCCTCAGTGGTGTCCTCATACTCAGTGGTGTCCTCGTACTCAGTGGTGTCCTCGTACTCAGTGGTGTCCTCGTACTCAGTGGTGTCCTCGTACTCAGTGGTGTCCTCGTACTCAGTGGTGTCCTCGTACTCAGTGGTGTCCACATACTCAGTGGTATCAACAGCCTCAGTGGTATTAGATATAGGATATTCGGTGGTCACGGGAGTAGGACCAGCGGTCACCATATGACATGAGTAGGGCTCTCCGACACATTCCTCGTCGCCACTGGCGTGACAGAGGCTGCCATCCTCCTTGACGATGATGCCAAAACACACTGGAGGGTCCTGCCAAAACTTACAGTATGATCCCCAGGAAGAATCCTTGCAACCAACCATACCATCACATACTTCCTGACAAGTTGTGTCAGGATACTCGTGACAGAGGACGGGTTTCAGAACAGAGTCGTCGCAATCAGCGTTGTACTCAGAGGCTGGCTGGAAGCATTTACCCTCATCCTTATGGTAAAGGCCGAAGCAGACACCATTGTCTTTACAGTAGGACTCAGAGCAACCCACAGTCTGCGCACACGAGTTTTCGCAGTACTGCCCATTAGGCTCAACCTCATCGGTTATACGGCCGGTCATACCTGCTACGGTGGCGAAAACGACAATGAGGACAGCGATGCGCATGGCAAGATGAAGGACTGAGTAGAAACCCTAACAAGACAACGATGGAATAGAACTCTTGCACCAATGCCCATCTGTGGGCGACCTCGGCTCATTACTGACGTGTGATATTTCGCTTGCCCTTTTGCGATCCAGAAACCGTCGACGAAATCTTACGGTTGCAGGATTTCCGCTCTCGCCCGCGCGGATGACCACACACTCCCCCAACCATCACAGTAGCAGCTAGTCTGAACTCGATTAAAAGGATCACGATCACCAGCGCGCTTTCTTCCTGCTGCCACTACCGCTCGGGTGTTCTTGTTACCCTGTGCCGCAATACACATGGAGAAATAAACTTGTCAGTTCGCGATACAACGTAACGTGCTTGGATCGTTCTCGCCTGTATTGCATCTCTTACATCATGTTGCGTGGTTCATTGAACGCGCATTCTCCGACATATAATAGATATGTTGCGCAAGCCATAAATGCGAGCACTGTCTTGGCAGGGAATTGTAACAATATTCGTACAATTCCTCTCGCGCCGCAGATTTACGAGGGGATAATACCCCTCAGAATCTGAGTCTCAGTCCAATTCACTCGACTGATAAATAGGTACATACATTTTCAAATTAACAACTACGACACTCAACGCTATTTCTGCATGATACGAACACCACAGCCAAATTCATGCCCAGTCACTTGGCAGATTGATCACGTTCTTTTATCAGCTCTCGCCATGTTTCCCTTGAGTAGAGATTCTCCAAGTTGAATACATTCACCTACGAAACCATGTACCATATCGTATAGTGGAGATGAGCTGACTGACCTACCGCAGTCTCCGACAGCTTCTTCGAATCGCTAACATCCTTGGCCAACATTATTGTTATCACTGAGGCTTCATCTTCTGAGTCTACCAGCTTCAGCCGAGTGATCAAGTCAATGAACATCGAACAAGGGATGTCACCATTCACCGACACTCCACAGCTCTTAGACGCAGCTGATAGCAGTAGCGTCGACAGCGACTCCGTCGTGACGAAATCACCTGACGCGTATCTAGTGTACTGCTTCCTCATAAGCAAACAGCTTATACAGTCTACAACTAATCAGGAACGATGATAAAAA